TAATGTCTACTTTGGATGTAGCTTAGTAATTGAAACCTTGGTCATTGAAGCCAAGGCAAGGCCATTGAATGAGATGGAATAAACTAATACCGAATGAAAGGACATGAATCAAATTATACACTTGAATTAGCAATTGGAAGTAGTTTTTGTTGGAACTTAAATATTTTAATAAAAAAGAAAATAAAATATTTTATAAATTAAATTTATTGTCCCATTAAATACTTGGTCAAACTAGCCGTTGTAGGTTAATTGTCCTATTTAAGGGCACATTATTTCATAATAATTGCCCAATTTATTCTTACCATTAACCTACAAATGGGAGTTACAAGACCATGAGTCCTATAAATAGGACATGTCTTTTGCTCAAAAAATGTTGTTGTTCCTCCACATTCTCCTATTTTTCTTACCTTGTTTTATCCTCTAAATATTCTTGGGCTAAGAAGGGTGTTTTGAGTAAGGTGACTCTATGGGTAGTGCAGATCCATAAAGTGTTATTATAAAGCTGTGGTATCTTGGGAGCGACATGCTTTATGTATCTCTACTGCAACGGTTGATCTATCTCCGCTGAGGTGTGAATCGCTTTAAAGTAAGTAAGCTTTTCACGCCTATTTAAATGATATTTTCTTATCAATATTTCTTGATAAGTTCACTAATTATTATTTTATTTGATCTTGTAACCGAGGCACAACAATGACATGATGTGGAGATGGAGGAGAGTGTTCGAGGAACAACAGTTTTGCTTAAAAAAAAGAAGTTAGTATCAAATTATAGAAGAAAGAAATGATATCAAGTGCCAACACATCTAATAAGCGAATTCTAACAAGATTATTCGAAACTGGGTTGATAATTCGAATTCAATTGTGCAATTATGCATTTCTTAAAAGGATAATAACTAATAGGGATTTTCTATTTATGATGGAAGTAAGAGATACTGAGTTCGAGTCACATGGCATGCGGGTGGAGTGGGATAAGGGATGGGAGATAGTTGCCTTCCATTATGCAACCCAAATAAAAAAAAAATTATGAATTAATTCTTTATTTTAAGGGAAATACTATTGGTACAACCTTTTTGTACAATCTTTTTGTACGACCTTTTTGTACAATCTTTTTGTACGACCTTTTTGTACAATCTTTTTGTACGACCTTTTTGTACAATCTTTTTGTAC